CACTTGCACACGTATGTGTACATGCACGTACACCCCAGCACGTAGGCACGTACATTGTGGAAGACTATGTATAGGTTCGTGGTATGAAATGTTGTTCTGAGCAACGGTGAAAGGCTCAAATCCATCAGTGTGATCACGTGTGTAACGGAGAGGAGAAAGGCAGGTGGTTTTCCACAGGGATTTCTTTCCAAAATCTGTACAAAAATATGATTTATTACAGGGCAAAAGTTGACCTTCTGTGAGGAGGAAAATTACTGTCGTGTATTTGCTTGAAAGGAAAAAAAAATATTTTAAGCAATGAGAACAAATTATTGAAAAAATTACTACTGACGTTTCAGGAGAGACTGGAGGAAGAAAGAACAGGACTGGAATAACAGACATAAATGTGCTTTTATAGCGCCCCATCTCTCCACATAAAATTCTGTCAGAGCTCATAAAATTAGAGCTTTAGTAGAAGCTGGACTGAATTAAAAAAAAGAGAATAAAGTAATCAGCACAGGTACAGTTCAGTTACATAATGGAAAGTTCAAGAATTTGGTCAACTAAGTTGGATTGAGTTCATGCCAGAGTACAAACTAAATCTGACCAGCTGCAGTACAAAGCCACTATACAGCACAGCAAGAAAAGCTGAGCTTTTTATAAAAAAACCCCAATACACCTGGATAAAGGGAGGACATCGGAACTAGAGAAAAATAAGGAATGAGCGTGGGCAAGCAACGTGGCTGCCGCCTTCTAGCAGAGGCTTGGCTGATGCAGGGGAGCTTTAGGATTGCTGATCTCGCAGACAAGAGTAGGGAGGGAAAGAAAGAAGGGAAAAAAATTACTCCTAAATCCTGAAAATGGAAAAGCATAGCTCTAAACAGAAAGAATTTCTCTAATGTATGTACACTGCTAGAGAAGTACATTGCTCTGACATTTCTGGAGAAAGGAAGGAGATAAGGGAATTCAACTGTATTGAGTGGTGAATGTGCAGCTTTTGCTGGCCAAAAATAGTGAGAGAAAAATGAGTGAAGAGACCAAGTGGGTGTAAAAAGTCAAAAGGAAAGAAAAATTAATAGAAGTGGAAAAAAAGGGACTACTGCTATGGGAAAACAAAGCATAGTCCAAATCACTGCACTAAAATGATATAGCTGCATTATCCAAGGCATTTATTCAAATAGGAACGTTTCCAGGCCAACTGCTCATTTTGTACATCTGTGGGACAATTGTCATTATGAGCACAGATATCTTTCCAGTTTTCATGGGTATTGGGAGTGCTTTTAGGGAAGATGAACTTCTTTCTTCTCCTCTTTGGCAAAGAGCAGAAGAATTTTATCCTCGTGTTTTGTTATCCAGTCAAAATCACCCACGCTCAAATCAAATGACTACAGAAACTCACAAAACAGTGAAAATATATAAAACCAAAAAACCCCGCCACATAGTAGAGAAGTCTTAAATAGAACATTTTCCTATGGGAAAAACAAACTATGTTTCATACCAGTGAAGACAACCGGATCAAGGAGAATTTGAACAGCTATTAAGTAGGAGTGACAGTTCTCCTGAGACCTCTGGATGTACGACTTCTGCTTTATGGTATTTCCCTTTGGGCTCCAAACTCCTAAGTGAAGTTTTCCACTTGTTTATCATTTGCTTTGTCAACTGAGAAACAGGGATGGCATTTGTATTTTTGTGCATGGCAGCACCGGGGAACTGTGCTGCACGATGAAGCCTGGGGAGATGTCTCCTGCTGGGTCCTCTCATTGCTTCACCCGCATTTCCATGCGCTCCTACCTTGGGTGTCGTGCCCATTCGCCAGCCCAGCCAGCCCAAGCCTTGGGCATGGTGGTCAGCTCAGCCCAAAGTCTGCACATCAAGGTCTGACACTCTCCATGAAATCTTTCACAAACACAACGTTGATGCAATCTACCCATGTTTGCCGATACCAGAGAGCCGATGTCTCCACGTGGCCCACCCTCACCCAGCAGGTCTGTGTGATTTTCCAGATTGCTCTGAGAGAGACATGGATTAATTTCAAAATGCCACGGGGAAATCTGGATGTCTGAAGGCATGCAAGTTTTTTTGTCTTCTTGGACTCTCAAGGTTTCAAGGAGCCATTTCATTCTAGGCTGGGCAAAGGAGAAATCGTTCATTTGCCCAGGCCCAGATTCTCTTCTGCTCTTCCTAATACTAACGCTAGTACAGAATGAAATGCTAGTGAGGTAGCACAAATCAAGCAATGCTTCTAGTCACGTGCGAGTATTTGCTATACACCAGTATTTACAGAGCACTTCACGAGTGATGAATATGTTAAAAGACCTAAAAAATCCTTACCCAAAATACACAAAACAAGATCTTTGCTGTTTGCTTTGCTATCAGTTTACTGTAGAAAGACCTAGCTCAAAGTGGAATCAGAGTATTTGATCTCTGTCATACTTCAAGGCCATCCAGTTTGACACTGATAACTGGGTAAACTGGCAGAGCACACAGATGCAATCTGTGGTGTCCCCTCAGCTCTACGCAGGGACTTAAGTCTTAATTGAAGAAGTCAACTGGGACAAAAAACCATGAAGCAGCCCACTCATCAGCCTGATTGTACTCAAATAATTAAACTATCTACTTGATAGAGAACAAATAGAAAGCATGTGCCTCCTGACAGATGTACACCTAATATCCAGCTGAAACAATACATTTTGCACCTTTAAGATTTTCCTCCAGTCAAAGTCTTACACTTTATGTTACATTTATAATGTTGCTTATAAACCTGTAGCTTAGTTGCTTACTACAAATTTCTATTGAAAAGAAAACACTATCATTCCTGATTTACAAATAGAAGACTAAAGTACAAAGAAATGAAAAGATACACAGAAGGTTACTTAGGAACTGGATGGCAGAAATGAGGGCTGAAGCCAAACATTCCTATGGAGTCCCACTCTGTGGGATTATTCCCCCCTTTAAGGTAGACTTTTTTCTACATTTTATCTCTGCAGGCACTGAAGTACTTTTTTTACTTATTCATGCAGGGAAGGGAAGGGAGTTTGTTTCTTTCTTCCCTTCCACAAAGCTGTTACTCTGCTGAAAAGCAGATTTAAAGCAGTGCTCCATGGCAGGAGTTTAAGGGTTACTTTAAACTGGGACACAAAACTACTACTTTCTGACATCATTTCATGGTGTGTTCAGGAAAGTATTCAAGCATGACATTGTATCATTAGGTATAATACAGCCATTGCAGAGGCACTGATTACTGCAATGAGAAGTCATTTTCTTTACCACTATATGCGATAAGGAATGAATAAAAACCTGGGCCAGAAACATCGTTGTAAAAAGGTAGGCTATGTACAAGAATGAAAAAACTGTCTCAAGACACCTTTTGGGGAGTCAGGGAAAGAAAACCCGCTGCATCAAGTGGGGTCGGGGGGCTGCTGAGCACCTCTGAAATTAAGATCTGTATTTCCCCTTTCTTTGGGAGGTTTCTCATGCTGCAGTCCCATCCTCATCTTATTCAGGGATGGAGGCAGTTTCCAGCCACGTCCACGCCCTGATCTGACTCAATACCCTGAGGCAGAAACACTAGCAGGAGGAGCAAGGTGCAAGCATCCTTTTCAGATGCTCCTTTTTAAGGTGGCAAACAAAAATCCCTCTTCACCTTGACCTGCTCATGTGCTGTCGCTCCAAATATGTCTTTAGGTGACCCCTTTCCATGATTAACTTCATACAAGGTCTATTGATCCTAGACCTGATTACCTGCTTTGGCAAATTTAGAGCGTGCCTGTGACCAACTAACCCAGCTCAGCTGGTGTTCACCGAGTCAATCCTCTGAGCAGCTCCTCTGTCTCATCCACAGCCAGACCCCCAAAATAAATGAGACTTTGCAATGCAGAGCAAAGCAGTGCCTAGATAGCTCTGGAAATTTTGGGCTGGTCTCTGTCTCTGGGCCTCCTCCAAGGCACAAGAACGGTAATGCTTTTCTATCTCCAAAGGGTATCACGAGGATATATTAAGACTCTTCGAATGGGCTCCGGTTTCTTAAATAGGCTCTTCTAGCATCATGCATTCGCATGTGTTAGTAAACGAGAAGCTGTCATGGATAGCTCTGTACACAGCCAAGCTCCTCAGGGGCTCAAGTGCCCAGCGAGCTGAAGATAAAGGATTTATTTTCATATTTGATCATGTAAATGTCACTGGATATATTTGCAAGAACCCACTCAAATCTTTCTGTAGGTATATGGAGTCATATCTGACAATGAGTTTTCAAGATACACTCTAGCGAGGCCTTTATAAGACCTCTCATTAGAAGTAAAATAATTTACGACTTTTTCCCCTCCCTGGCATTTTATCACACGCTCCTGCTACTGCAGCCTCACTTGATTTGCGACAGGATGGTACATGGCATACAAAATATTAATGGAAAAGACACAGGACTCCATCCCTTTGGGGATTTGGTGCAGCGATGATAATGAAATTTGCTATTGAACCAGTAAAACAGCTGAAGATGCACGCGTCCTACTGGTAACCAGAACCGTCTTTAAAATTATTTAAGTCTCTGTTCTGGCAGTGCACGTCCCACCGCTCTTATTTCATCTAAACAGCTCCTTTCCTGTGCCCATGTCATTTGCTTAAGTAGGTTTTTGTTTCTCATTTTTGCAACAAACTTTTTGTAATACCATATACTTTTTCTTAATGTCTTTGTCTTGTTCAAAGCCTTACCAAATGAATCAGACTGTAAAAAGTTATTACACTGCAAGTTGTCAGTACTGAGCAGCACAACTACAGTGCACACAACGCATACAGTGATGTTAATTATTTACCAGTTCCCAGTTTGATTGCATTTTGGGTGGTGATGACACTCAAGGGCTTAACAGCTGCATAAAACATTGTGTTATGTTCTACAGTGTCCTAGAATAAATCATCCCTGAAAAATTTCTCTCTTAGAAATAAAACATACCATTTGGCCGTTTATCAAGATTACAGTAAGATGAGCGATGAAAGTTCTACAGAAGTATTTATTTTTAATGATGCCCTACCTTTGAAGAAACAGTCCTTGCTATGGATAATGTAGATTTTCTTCCTCTGCAGACAGGAGGCTCGATGCAGTTGACAGTGATTTTCATAAAATTTGCCATCAGATCCACACACGGGCATGTAGCTGGGCTTGCAATCTTCTACGCATCTGCACTCGGGCTGGTTGGTGTCCTTGTTCACGACACACTTGCTCCCCCGGCCGCAGTACTTCTTCTCACACGATGCATGCAGGCCATCCTGCCCATAAAGCACTGGGAGGAGCAGAAAACGTCAGAGTGAGCAATATTGGCCTAACAGACCGTACTCGTCTGATGTAGCAACACAACAATTACAGGAGCAGGAGCTACAAGGTTTCTGAGGGGAAAAAGCACCCCGCTTTGAATATCAGCACAACTGCAGTTTGGAGAATGTCCTCACATCTGTGCTCCCAGACCTCCAGCTCTCACTCATCGCAACATGAAGCGTGTGCTAAAAGGGCTTTACTGAAAAGCGATGGGCATAGGGCCGTTTGTTCTTTCAGCCCTTTGTGAAACTATACCCTAGAATAAAATCCTGAGAGAGTATTTCAGTGCCATGAGTTTGGCCGTGAGTTACACTCAGAAAGCAATTCTGAAAACCTACGCTCCTCCAGCCACAAAACCCATGAGGAGCTTCATTTCAGGCAGCAAAGTGCCCTAAGTGATGGCACTTCAGCTCTGTACCGGTGTCCATATTCAGAGTCTAATTTCCACTCTGTGAGCCAGAAGCAGAACATCCCCAAGGCTAAAATTCACACAGGTTTCAATGAAAGCTCAGACAGACAATCGCTGAGAGCTTTTGAAAAAAATAATCCCCAAGAAAGACTTATCACTGAAGTGAAGGGAATATTATGGGAAGATGCTTCTCGCTGTAAAAGTGACCATCAGTATCTATCCCTACACTCTGAATAAATGACATACGATGAAAAATAACTTTCTACTACTTTTAAGAATTCATTGGATATAATGTTCTGAACATTACTGTGCTATCTGCTGTTTGATACTGTTAAAGGCTAAGGAAGTTGCCCTTGTGCTATAACATCTTCTGCTTCTGAAGTTTCCTCGCTTAAAGGCTTACAACAGAACTTTATTATAATTCATACAGGACAGGGTACTTCTAAACAAGCCACTACTCAGAGCAATAATTAGCATTATGCTCAATGAAGAGAGTTTCAGGAAATCAGATTATTCTATGCTAATTGGAGTACACAAAGTTGCGAATTACAAAGGGATGCTGCAAAAGGCGTAATTAAAGCAGGAATAAACATTTCATAGCGCACAGCCTGCTGCCAGCCTTGTGCAGCCTTCCAACAGCAGCAGCCTCCGGCTGCACCCACGCCAGTGACTCGGTCTGGACCAGCAAGGCGGTTTTGAAGTAAATCCCTGTTGTCTACATTTACCACACGTAGGTTTGGCTCTCGGCAAGGTTTCGGTGTACACTTTCTTTCAGAGGAAGCTCAAGTGGAAGCACTGCTCCAGATGTGCTCCAGCACCCAACAGGACAAATCCTGCAGCGGCTGCAGCACCACAACATCCTCCAAAACGCACCCAAGGCTCTGCCCTTCAAAGATTTTTCAAGCAGCGGAACTGTTCAGCCTATGAGAGCTGACCGGATCTCACCCAAAGACACCCCCTCATCACATGTCATGGAGATGTGAGGAGCATCAGCACTAGCTACCTCAATCTATTGGTCCCTTTTTATCATGCTAAATTCCTTGCTAACATCGACATAGCCCCTGCCTGCCCAACATTTTATGCCCATATGAAATGTCCCAGTATTGAAGCTACATTTCACCTAATAGTGATCAAGGGGTTAAAGCGTGTGCACAGATAAGCAAAAGTTTCTACAAAATCCCATTTTTCTTGGTCCCTGTTAAGCCTTTGTTTTTATCACTGTAAATCAGAAAGGGAAAAAAATCTGTTATTGGAGGATTAACCATTTGACTCAATAACTCATTAAAATGCCTCCAACTTAGCAAGCTAAGAAATATTGACTTTTCCTGACTTGTAATAAACTAGAAGGTCAAAGCATCTCTGAGCAGTGCAAAAAGTACAGTCCCTGGAAGGAGTATCTGAATATTCTTTGTTTACTTTACTAATTGTTCCAGAGCTTCTGCAAAATGTCCTCAGGAACGCAAATTCTGTGACCTCTGGGAGACCTCACTGCCAAGGCCATCTGCATTTATGGTGTCTGCTGTAGACCAGAGCAGCACGAAGGATCAGAGCTTGAGGAAGCCCTTTTCAAGCATCCTCCTCTTCCTCCTCCTCTCGGTGGCAGGACCTGTACCTGTACAGGCACTTGGCTTATCCATCACAATGTGCCTTCAAAAGACATGTTTTGGAGACTGCTGTTGATGCTAAAGATATTAAAAAAAAAAACCCCAAACACCCAAGATTCAGGAGCTATTATTGTCTATATCAATGTAATTCAGATACAACTACAGCAAAGCCCTTCCTGTGCTGTCTTGATCGCTAAAAATTGATCTCTCGGAGCTAGCACCAGCTGAGGACTGCACCATACGTCTCGCTGAAGGTTATTTCTGCCTCCTCGTTCACAGTGGGCTGCTCTGATTTAATGCATCAGGTCACACCTGGGCAGGCCACAGCTGCACCCTGCCCCGACAGCTACCGCAGGCACCGGCAGCAGCAAAAATCCTCTTGGAGCCTCAATTATTTTTGGTATTTTGATTTTTACTATAAACTTAGGATTACTGAAGACAAACACTATTCCTATTGCAACGGAAGTTTTAAGTTTTTTAATGATACAAAGATTTGGTTAAGCACCAGCTTGGGGGGGGAAATACTTTGGCTTTTCTACATCCACCCCGGTTACTAAGGAGAAACTGCAGAAAGCCTGTCTGTGTTTACGCCTCATTCGTTTCATTCACAGTTTGGTTTATTCTGTGTTCCCAGATGGAGAGCTCCTGTTTAACCACACCTAAGTTGGGTAAGGGGGTAGGCAGGATACCCCACAAACAGCCAGAAAGGAAAGATTCACGTACTCAGGAACCCTGACGCGTCCAAGCCCTCCGAAATCTGTGTGTCAGCAAGCAGAGTGTTAACGTGGGATGCCTTTGCCAGAATCTGATAACGTTGATAGCAGCTCTTTAATTCAATTACTATTTGCATAATCCTTTGAAGAACTAAAGCTCCCCACAAGCACACTCAGACATACAGACGGACCCTCCGCCCAGGAAGGACAGTAACGGGGTGCGAAACAGAAGGGAGCCAGTGGAAATCAAGAGGAAAGAAGGTATTTTACTGTAAAAGCACCGTTGTCTTTATCCAGGTAATTAATCAATCCAGAGCATCACCACACACCATGGAAAGGGACCTTCCTCGATTGCATCGAGGTGCCTGCTCCAGCTGATCCCATGGGCAGCTCCCGAGCCAGGAAGGACACCGGCGTGTAGCTCCGTGTCATGAAATGCGCCTGCCATCGCTATTTTTTGTCACATTATTAAAAGTGACTGAATTCCCCATTCTTACAAGGATTATTAAAAACAGAAATGGGAAAGGTAATCAAGTGAAACTACCAACTAACTGCTCACAGTATTTACGAGCCCCACTGTACTGCACGGAAAAAGGCATAATTTATTTAATTTATTAGTTGCAAAGAAAGTCATTTACTTAGGTTAAAAATTGATCATCTTGCAAAACAAGCCACTTTTCAACACTAATTAAGTTTACCCAACATGGCTAGAGTCTGAGTTGTTATATTGTATTAAAGTCAGCAGGATGGAGAGAGGAAGCCCATTCGCATACACCCATGAAAACATTTGACTTCTCAAATCGGTTTCTGGCTGCCCCTGAGAAATTTGGAATTCCAGTGGAAAACCAACAAAAGCCTTGCGCAGGCAGTAAGTTAGTTTAGGAATTTCATAAGGCTGTTTAGCAGGCTGCCTTCATCTCAAGCCAGACTTCGATAAGAAAATGAAGATGTCATTGCCACATTGGAGAATACGCGTCCTCTGGCAGCTCATTAATTCATAAAGACAGAGACCTCATCTACTTTTACACGCCACTAAATATGTTACAGATCAGACTAAAGCTTACAGGCAATTTTTTTGCTCCCAAATACAACCCTATTCCTTACTTCAGCAAAAAGAGTTCAAGGGAAGGTTGGGTTCACGACAAGCACTGACTTCAATTAAGACCAACCAGACAAACCCATCACACATACAGCAAAACCAAAACCCAAACAGCTCTATCATATCGCTACTCAGAAGAAGTTGCTTATACACTGCAGAAATGTAAATTACTACATTTACATGTAAAAAGCCAGTTTGCCCTCAAGTAACAGTGAGCTCCTGCAGGCAGCTGGACATCCAGTTTTATTGCTGAAGGAAAAAGTTTAGATGCTACATCAGGACCAGAGCCAAAACTGGAAGCTTTAATGATGGGGCACTGGAGACTGGTATAACTGAAACTGGAAGCTTCTACCCCAAGTCCTTCAAAGGCAACGCTGCGCCTTGCAAATGTTGCAACAAAATAAAAATCAAATCAAACCCTCTATAACACGATAAAAGTATCCAGTCTCTAAACTTAGTCCGTTACTTCCATTAGGTAAACCGGTGAGGTAACAGGTAATGAGCTATTCCTCCGGCATCCTGACATCATTTTTCCTTTCCCACATTAAATAATCTTCTGTGGTCTAAAATGTCACACCTGTAGGCACCGTTTACTGCTGAAAAATATACGTTGCCAGTACACACAGATATATATACACACAATGCAAACACATATAGGTGTATGTGTTCAAGTATGTATTTACATACATCTATTCACATACACAGACATATACATGTTTAAGACCACCTAGACACTTCCCATACACTCGACTTGCCACAACTTCACTTTTGCTGATGATACGAAATCAGATGCTGCAGCACGGTGCCCTAAACTTTCCTCCCCCAGCACATAACTCAATATACGTCTTGAATAACTCACGGCTGGAAGTAACAAACGTTCAGATGCGTGACTACTGCACCTGGCTTCTGTTCAGTTAGCAAATGCATGTGCTACAAACATTGTTAATGCCGCAATAAAATAAGAAAGGAAGCATAAAGCAGGGATTTCGTAATAATCTGCTCTGTGAGTTTCTCAGTTTTTCATTGCATGCCTGTTATAAAAGTGGAGAGGCAGAAAAGCCATGGTAAATCACCTGGAATAGGGGCATGGCAACAGTGCATTCACCATCTCCGTTACTAGCCTTTGGTACTATAATTTATACA